AAAAAAAAAAAAAAAAAAAAAAAAAAAAAAAAAAAAAAAAATTCCCGGTCCTGATCACTTCCTTTGACTACCCGCACAGACTACCTAACCCAGACCTGCGTCAATTATGTCAATAAATGATAAATAAATGTTTCTTGGGAATACCATTTCACATATTTCGTATTTAATTTCATTAATTAAAAAAGTAAGCATCATGCAAGTACGAATAAAAAGGTTCATCCTTGCACACATTAGTACGCATTGTTTAATTCTTGGATTTCTTTCCCTCACGTCGTTCTTTTCCCCGTAGGTATTCCATCGTTCTCCTGATGGGCAGAATTGTAATGGGAACATGTGGCAACAGCGTAACAAAACAATCGATACGATCCAGCACGTGTTGCGAGGTTACATTTACCGACTCCCTCTGTCTTATCGATGCTCGTGGTAACGCAGGCCAAAGTGACTGACAAATACCATAAACGCCTCTAGCGGAGAATCCTTGAACTATACCACTGTTTATTTCTGAGTCTGGACGCGTCAAATCGTAGGAACCAAAATGTGACTTCCAGAAATGATAAAGTGACTCAAATCGAATTTCTACGATAGTGTGATAGTGGTGTACAGAGTGGTCTACTCTGCTTTTGACGAGAAAACCATTAAATCGTGAGATATTGGACAAAATGTGACTTGAGCAGCCATCTTGTGTGTTTTCACCTGCGTCTGTCAAAATCGGACACTTTCTAAAATTTTAATTCTTTCAATTCTACGTGTTTATTGGTGTTTATACGGACCAGACCACCCTGTAGGGAAGTCTACCCGTGAGTTCTATATCCGTGAAAAGTGCATTTGTGCAATTATCGAGGTTCCTTTTGGTTCCTACGAAATCGAATTTCTCTCTCATGCATCGCGTATACATACACGGTTCTCGTTGATTGTGTGAGTGCACGGCCAGCGCTCGAGCCTCGAAGTCTCCCCCCCTAAGGGGGGAGACTCCGAGGCCCGTGCGCTGCGCCGTGCACTCACACAATCACCGGGAACCGTGTATGTATATGCGATGTGCAAGAGAGACAATCGATTTCGTAAATTCCAACTTCTGTCTGAACAATTGCACAAATGAACTTTTCACGGGTATAGAACTCACGGGTAGACTTCCCTACAGGGTGGTCTGGTCCGTATAAACACCAATAAACACATTTTAATTGAAAGAATTAGAATTTTAGAAAGTGTGCGATTGTGACACACGCCGATGAAAACACACAAGATGGCTGCACAAGTCACATTTTGTTAAATATCTCACGATTTAATGGTTTCCTCGTCAAACGCAGACCAGACCACCCTGCACACCACTATCACACTATCGTAGAAATCCAATTTTTGTCACTGTATCACTTCTGGAAC